GAGCAATACAAGGTAATTTACTTATTTATCCTTCATTTCCCATTCTAGTTGCATAATTATTTTGACATAATTTACAATTTTTAACAGGGTCTGATTAAGGCTGTCAAAGAACTCCTTCCATATGTAAAGCACAAGAATATTAGCCAAAACTTGAGAAAAAGGTATAATGGTGCCCAATATGAAACCATATTTTGGAAGACTTGTAGAGCAACAACTGAGGCAGAATTTAAGATTGTCATGCAAGACCTTAAAGATCTAGACCCAAGTGCTCATAAGTATCTGATGGACAGACCCCCAAACAGGGTCAAGAGCCTACTATGAAACTGGTAGATGTTATGGAGAATGGAATATCTGAAAGTTTCAATGTTGTGATTGTTGATGCTAGGAAGAAACTAATTATCACCATGTTGGAGGAGTTGAGGTTATATATGATGGATAGAATGTTCAACATGAAAGCCAAAGGCAAAGGATGGGGCAATCAAATTTTCCCAACAATTAAAGAGTTATTGAATGAGGTTAAGAAATTCCACAGACATTACCAAGTATTACCTAGTGGGTTAAATCAGTTTGAAGTAAGAGGAACTAGGGATGGTTATGAGGTAGATCTTGAAAGGAAAACTTGCTCATGCAGACTATGGCAGCTTAATGAAATTGGGTGTGTTCATTATTTTGTAGCAATTAGTTTTATGAATAGGGATGTGGAGTCTTATGTTGATAAAATGTTTAATAGCATTAATTACATGAAAGCATACAAGCATAGGTTAGCACCACCTTTACCCCTTGTTCATAGAAAAATGTTTTGGAAACCTGCAACTAAAAGGAGAAGAGATGCAGCCGAAAACTAGTCAAATAACAAACCAAAGAAGAGTACCCAAACACAAGCCAATGATCTGCAACAGAGGGTATCCAAGGCTGTTAAGAAACAAAAATGTATCCTTTGTAAGGTTGAAGTACACAAAAAAAGAGCTTGTCTTGCAGGTGAATAAATAATTACATCATTTGTTGTGTTTATTATTATTATTTTTGCTAATGTTCTATCACATAGGTGAATGAGGGTAGCATTGAATTCAATGATGGTGGTGAAGGAGGTCATAATGATAGACAAGACAATGATGAGGTGGAACTCACACCTATGGATTTTGATGCTTCTAGAAATGGAGATGCAGTCAATGATGTTGATGATATAGTCAATGGTGTTGATGATGCAAGCAATGGTGTTGATGTCAATGATGGTGATGCTTAGAATGTTAATGTTAATGAGGTGCATGTGCAAAATGAGGTGATGGAAGGACCAATTAGATCCCTTTTGAATAAAATCAGAAGGAAAAAGTATGAAAGGATTATCAAGTTGAAGCTTTCCAAAAGAGTTGGTGATGAAGATGTACCTGGGAATTCAAAATCAAGATGCACTTTAATTGTTATTGATGTTAATCTAGAACTTGGTTTTTGTATGAACTATGTTATGTGAATTTGGTTGTATGTTAGTAAGTTTGTTGTTATTTTTAGTTATTTGTTGTGTTTTTATTAAGCTGGTTGTTTGTTATTAGGTTGCATGCATGGCAAGGGAATATGAGGTTAATATTCATGGCAAGGACAAATATGGCCAATTATAAAATGCCGACCACATGATGCATATAAGGGACCACCACTATACAGAACTCAATTCAATTTAAAATGGACCAAGTGTGCTCCATATGCCCGGCAATGTGGTTCCTATAATTCAATTTTAAATGGAGCACATAAATATCATTAAGTACAGACATGGATATAAGTCTTATAACCATTATCTTTGTCCTTCATTCATTCATGGGATCTTTTATACATACACATACAAAAGTTGTTAAAAATACAACCATCTAAAATCTATATATACCTTACATTCACATATACTGATCATGTACTCATCCATCCAAACCTAAACAAAATTCTACTGTGATGACCATCTACACATATACTACATAAAAGACTGGTTGGAATTATAAATCATCAACTATCATAAATCATAAATCATCAACCATCATAAATCATAAATCATCAACCATGAACTGCACTTCAAGCACACTTCAACCACATCCCAATGATTCCAATGAAACACTTAGCACTTCCTAGGTAAGACTTCATCAGACTGTTTTTCTCCTTCACCTCCATCAACTCCGTGTCGAAAGCTTCTTTCTCAGCTTCCATTTCTTTCTGCAACTTAACCAATTTCTTCTGTACCTTCACAACCTCATTGTGGTCTTCCTTTATGCATAACTCAAACCTCATCTTACGAAGCTGGTCTTTGTAATACCCCTCCTCTAGTTCGTTGTCTTTCCATAGAAAAAAAATTACATTTTGGACCTTCAGCTGACTAATTAAAAAGGAAGAACAAAACCAGGGTTATGAATAGGGATTAATTAGCTTCTCCTTATCATCAGTGAGATGATTTGAACAACCTGAATCTACATTCCAATCATTGAGATGATTTTCAAATTGATTAGTTGTTGTTACTGTCAGCACAGAGTCTTCTTCTTTTATGACTTCATCGTCTGTAAGTTTCTAGGGCTTGTACATCCCACTATTCTTCTTCTCTTACAGTTGTTGTGTTTCCTTGTTCTAGTTGAGGTGTGCGACAATCCTTGGCCATATGGCCCCTCCGACCACACGAATGGCAATTGTATGGAAAACGTTTCGCATACCTTTTAGGTTTTCTATTCCCATTTCCATTTCCACTCACTTCACCTTTTTCTGACTCATTCCCCCTCTTAGACGAGGCTTCTTATTTGTTGGGCCTATTTGAGTTACTAGACGAGCCCGTATTCCAGTTTTTATCTTTGTGCTTATTGTTAGCATAAAGGGCTTCCGCATTTGTCTTTGGCGTTGAACTGATGGACATATCTCCAAGCTGCTTAGCGAGAGTTTCTTGGGAAGCTAGTAAATTCTCGAATTTAGCTAGGGTTGGCTGTGTAAGCCACCCAGGTTGCAACAAAACTTTTGTAATCTTGTTTTAGCCAATGTATTATGATTCGTTTCATTTGTGCCTCACCAATCATGGATTGTGTATTGAGCTCTCCTATCTCCTAGCACAACGTTTTGATCTTATGAAAGTATTAGGGGATTGTTAAATCCCGTTGAGATACCAACAACAATTCATTCTCTAAGAGTTGCAGCTTCGAATTGTTTTTCTTAGGGAACAAGGTAACTAAGGTATCCCAAGCCTCCTTGGGTGTCACAGAGTAGGGATGTCAACGGGGGCAAACGGGGCGGGGAGTGCATCTCCCGCCCCCGCCCCCAAAATTTTCCCGTTCCCCCACCCCTACCCCCGCCCCGTTTGCCCCCATAGATCTTGGCCTTGCAAATACGACTTCAGGTATGTAGACCAAGTGTTGTAGTTATTGTTCAACTTCTTCGCACCACCGACTCAATGGAGTTCAACCATAGGAAGAACAAAGTTGCTTCAAATTTTCTGAATATTTTCATTAACATAGCTAACAAACTTAAATACTAAAAAAAACAAGGACCACATGCACATGCACTATTACCATGATACCAACTAACAAACCAGAAAAACTAGAAAGACCAAATCAATACCTAGACTTATTCACGATAAATAACCGTAAAATAAATGTGCAAAAATAGATTGCTATGTAGACTACTAGGACATTGACTTTCAACAATGGTAAGGTACGTCCACGTATGTTAAGACACATCAACATGTAACCCGTTAATCGGATACAGTTTCCAGCAAATGTGTAATTAGCCGGTATTACCTAATTATAAGGACTAATTGAGTATAAAACATACATGAGTGTAAATGTGCAAACTTCGTTAGTGCCAAAAACCCAAACTTTTATTTTCATCATAAAATATATTAAATTTCAGAACTCTCTCAACTTGCAAGAGAGGGACAACGTGGTCCGAAAACATGTTTCCTTTTAATACAATCTTTCAGTCAACTTTCAAAAACTTGAAATTAATTTGTTAGGGTCTCTATAACCAACACCTAGGAATAATGATACCCCATACCTCATCAAGAATTTGAATAAAAAACCCATACAAATATCCATGGTCATAAAGTGGTTGCTAATTGATAGAATAATGATCCATTGCGACAACAAGACCAGCATCAGAATTCAGAAACATCTACCCTAAGAATTTGATGAATTCTCACAAAATAAAGATACAAAATATATGCAAAATCGAGCCCGACCTACAACGATTCTGGAATCAATTCTAAAAACTCCGCTCTTGCAGCCGGGTCATGCGAAAACCGACCCAACACTGCAATCGTACCCGTATTACTACCAAACTTTTCAATCCCTCTTGAGATCATACAAGTATGATTCGCTTCCACTACAACAATTATATTTCCACCCAACAATCGAGAAACAGTCTCAGCAATCTGCCTCGTGAGTCGTTCTTGAACTTGGAGCTTAAAACCATGAAAATGTACAACCGATTGTAGAATAGATTTCAAAATCGGACTCACTTCTTCACTCGATACATACCCAATATGAACCGACCCGTAAAACGGAAGTAAATGGTGCTCACAAAGCGACCATAGTGATAAGTTCAACTCCGATCTAATCTTGCAATTCGTTGGGCTTGTGGTTGTCAACGGGCCGAAACCAAGCCCGTTAATTTTCATCTCCAATTTTGAATCTTTAAAGTTAGATAGCCATTTTACAAACCGGGTTGGGGTTCCCGTGAGTTCTTTCCGACCCGGGTCTTGACCCAATGACCGTATAATCGAGGTGACCGCGGTATCCATGGGTGAGACACCGGGACCGGTTTTGACCCGCGACGGGCACCAAGAATCTTTATTGGTGGTTCTTGAATGCATGTTATCTAAGGTTATGTCCCGGCGGCGTAAAAGACCGAAAAAATCGATCCAATTGGCGGAATCTGGTTTCCCGAAAGAGCCGGAACCGGAATTGACTATTACGTCGACCCATCTTTTTTGGTTGGAATCGAGAAAAGCGGAATGGGAATCGGGGAAGCGGATGTGTGAGCAGTGGAGAACAACAGCAACACCGGTTGGGTTGATTTCGTGTTGTAAACCGTTGCAAATCTCGTCTGCTAACCGTTGTGGATCTTGGAGGCGTTTGGTGAAGATATCGGCTACACGGGAAAGTTTACTAAGGCCCACAACTCGTTGACCAGATGGAATGTAACCTATGTGACATTTGACCTGGAATGGGACCAAACATGACTCACAGTATGAGTAGAGATCGAGATCTCTAACAAGAACAAGTCCACCGGCTCCTCCGGCATGGCCAATTCCGGTTTCTAATCCCAATTCCGGGAATAACGCACCTTGGACTATGTCTTTCACGTTTTGTTTATAGCCTGGATAAGAGCAAGCATACACAAAAAAAAACATTACAACCATTTTTGATTTTCCCTATTCAAAAAGGAAACATTCAAACCACAGTAATTCAACATATATCTTCGCAATAAGAAAAGAGCTAACCTCTAGTTCCTTCACGAAGGGCTTTAGCAACACGAAGAGGGGTCTTCCTAAGACCTTCTCTGTTGATGTCTTCACCCAAACCCTGTAACAAAACCTTCACAGCATCTTCAATGGCTACAGTCTCTGGTTCTTGCTCGAAACCACAACCACCAAGCTTCACTCCATTTTCTAGCACCGCATTGTAGTGACCCTCATCCAAGGCTCCCATTGAAAGAGAAGCCTTAAAAACCCAAATCGGATCTAATCTAAAATCTAAATCTAATCAAAACCCTTTCTTGATTTATCAATAAAGATTGTATCTTTGAGTAAAAAGATCCAAAAATCGAAAACCCAGATCGAAAATCAGAAACGTCAAGACAAGAAATAAACCAGCCAAATAGAAGCACTTTTTGAAAGATTAAGATAAAGAAAGGTGGCCACTGGTTAGGGATATGGAGGATGGGGTTGTGAAAATTACGAGAGAAATGATAAACAAGTTGGGGAGAATAAGAGTCAAAGATGTGCGTTTTGTGAATGTAAATTGTGTGAATTATATAGAGATGAAGGGTATGTATGACGTTGATTTTGTAATGTTTTTTATTCGTTTATTAAATTGAATAATAAAAGATCAAGAAATAGATCGAATCCCAACCTTGGATCTTCTAACTCCTTGGTGAATTAATGAGGGTTATCGACTGTTGCGTCTTTTTTCACGAGTCTTGAAGTGGGACCCTTGTGCATGATCTGGGGTTGGTAATCCATCGTTTTCAATCTGTTACACACTTGCATGGTGTTTGTGCCTGTGGAATATATAGATACATAGATGTATATGTATATGTATATGTCAGAGAAATAGAGGGAGGAGATAGGGGGTGGTGGGAGGTCAAAAGTTGGACGTGTGCTGGAGTGGGGTTTATACTTTATAGGACTCACCCACCGCCTGATGGGAACCGGGTCGAATAAACGCGTCGGGTCAAAGAGATGATGACATGATGACCATGATCTTGATGATGGAGGCCACCAACCCACCATAGAAATGGAAATGGACTTTAACATTTGGAATATATATTTTTTTCATTCCCATAGATTCCGGATCAGAGAACAGTAAATACTCCAATAATATTTTATTTTATTATTTTTATGGTGGTTGATTTAGAATATTTACATAAATCATATTATATTTAAATAGGGATACACTATTATATCTAAATAGGGATATACAAAGCAATTTGAGGGATATATATAAAAATATTCTCTTAAGAAAACGAGTAAAAATGGATTTTGATTAAAAGCCTATATTGTACTTTTTAACGTTTATGTGGTATCTTTACCGTTAATTTGTTAATACTTTGGATAAAATATGGTTGATTTGTTAATATTTTGACTAGTGTGCAAATTTAGTCCATGTGGTTGTTAAATTTTTGGGGTTTAAGTCCCTTGAACTTTAGTTTTTGTATATAATGGCTTTTTGGGTAAGTTTCATTGTAAATATAAAAGTTGAAATGTATATTTTGTTCTTTTACTTTATTTTGTTCGTTTCTTTTAACCAGATTATTTTTTTTAAATATTAAAAAAGATAAACCAGGCTACCAAGTCTCTGTCATATGAAAAAATAAATCCCAATAAAGATAGAAAAAGTTAGAACTAAGAGAAGATTGTCTCTGAAATAAAAAGATATGAAGAAAAAAATATGAGTAAATTCGAGAAATGACCAAAAAGATATGAAGAAAAAAATGTGAGTAAATTTGAGAAATGATCAAAAAAGGGTTGTTTGAAGAAAATAACCAAAGGAATAACACATTTCAGAAAATGACCAAAGGATCCGCAGAGCATCTTCTGCGGATCTATTAAGTCCTCTGCGGATTTGCTACACCTTTGCGGAATTGAGTTTTTTTTTTTTTAATTTTTTTTTCATTTTTTTGCGTTAATTTTAGTTTATTAATATTAATTTTTTTTAGATATACTAACACGTTATGTGATTATTATGTAAAAAAATTGAGAAAAAAAAAAGTTTTTTTTTTTGTTTTTTTTTTGCGTTAATTTTAGTATATTAATATAATTTTTTTTAAATACACTAATATAATTTTTTTTGAATGAGGGATCCATTAAAGGTTAAAAATAATAAACTTATGTTTAATCCGCAGATCACCCTTTGTGGATCCATTGAAGGCTCTGCAGATCCTCTATAGCTCTGCGTAATCTTTGTTTTCTTATTTTTTTTAATTTTTTTTCTTTGTTTTTTCGTTTTCTTTGCGTTCATTTTCGTTTATGAACATTAATTTTTTTTTAAATACACTAATACCTAATGTGATTATGTAAAATTTTTGATAAAAACAAGTTAAAAATAATAAACTTATGTTTAATATCAGTCCACAGAACTGGTTGAGAATCCACATAACTATTATCAGCGGATCAATGTACATACGTATTCTCTTCTTGGAATCACCTCTACGGATTAGTGTACACATCTGCATAAGGGAATACGCAGAACTGTTAGAGAATAAAAAATGACTAACAAACAGCTTTGCGGATTACCAAACAATTTTGCGGAATAAGTAATATAAAATCACTTTACCATGCATATCCTTTCATCGATTTTGTACCATTTCTTCTTCATTTCATTTTTTTTGAAAAATTAACCCTCATATTTTCCGTCATAATGGCTTCCATACCATGGAGCGCTGAGGATAACCTCCAACTCGTGCATATATTAATATCCACAAGACCACCAGGGTGAATGATCCAAGTTATTGGACCCGTTTAACTTATGCCTTTAACGCTGCCCCTCAAATAATATGGAATATTTGTATAATTTTAATTAGGTTATTTATATGCACCGATTTGTATTACATTATTATGTATTTGGTTTGTATTATGTTATTTACGAAACAGTTGAGTTAACTTCTATTTTATTTCATAGAACATAAAATACAAAACAGTACAAATACATTGAAAACATACATCATTAGCAACATATTACATAAAAAAATTCATTATTTTTAACATTTTTTATCAAATTTTTTATATAATAATCACATAACATATTAGTGTATTTTAAAAATATATATATTTTTAACCTTTTTTTTGTCAAATTTTTTACATAATAATCACATAACGTATTACTATATTTAAAAAAATTATATTAATAAAAAAAAAACTTTTTTTTCTCAAAATTTTGACATAATAATCACATAACGTATTAATATATTTAAAAAAAATTAATATTAATAAACTAAAATTAACGCAAAAAAAAATTAAAAAAACTTAAAAAAAACTCAATTCCACAAAGGTGTAGCAAATCCGCAGAGGACTCAATAGATCCGCAGAGGGTGCTCTGCGGATCCTTTGGTCATTTTATGAAATGTTTTTTCGTTGGTTATTTTCTTCAAACCACTCCCACTTTTTGGTCAAGAATATTTATATAAATCATATTATATTTAAATAGGGATATACAAAACAATTTGAGGGACATATATAAAAAAATTCTCTTAAGAAAACGAGTAAAAATGGATTTTGGTTAAAAGTCTGTATTGTACTTTTTAACGTTGGGAAAATGTCACTGTAACCCCACTAACTTACAAGTTTTGGTGTAAAAGGTCCCTTATTTTATTTTTTGGCTTTAGAAGGGCATAAACTAATATTTAACCGGCTAATTAGATCATTTTTATAAAGTGAAGGGTGACCCCAATCCGAATCAGCATTATTTCTTGGACATGTCATTAAAAGAAAATCAGGTCATTAAACTAAATCATATGCCATGTGTTAGTGTATTGATAAATGGCACCAACCCTTCCTCTCCAAGTAATTTTCGTCTTTAATCGGTTTCATCTACCAATATCTCCTTTTTCTTCTACTGTTCATCAAAAAATAAAACCTGGATTTTTTCTATGGCCGTCTACATGCAGATAGATCTTCATTTTGTTGGTTTGTTTACGAGGTATCCAGTGATCAGTTACTCAGATGGAGTGGAGCAAAGGTTTGAGGATGTGGATTTTGGTGGAATGGACAAAAACGAATTTCTAGTGTTTATTCAGAGATTCGCAAACGAGACATGTGTTGATGTGTACTTTTGCATGCCCGATATTGAGTTCCCTGAAGGACTGAGGATAATAGCAACTAAGAAAGACTACCAGGAGTTTATCGAAGTAGGGTACGATTCCGGTTGTGTAATTTATGTGTACATGGATCATGTTGGTGTTCATGTTCATCAATGGATTATTGATGAGATGGCTAAAGTATGCACCCCCGAAGACAAGTTTTCTGGTGTAGGTGAAGTAGTCGAAGAGTTGCATGTTGAGACAGAAGGAGGCATTGACCTAGATGAAGTACAAGTGCAAGGTGATGTGGACGATAACATTGAAGATGGAGATTGCATCCCCATGAACAAGACCTTGAATGATGTATTTTTGAAAAAGCTCTGCCCCAAGGAGCAGCCAACTCCAGACACTCCACCTCAAGAGGATCCATCTCATGAAGATCCATTTGATCAGATGGATGAACACGACCCAATTCATGAGGAGGTAACAACTTTTAATGAAAATGTTTATTGGAAAAACCAAAAACCTGTGTTAGGAATGAGATTTGAAAATCCTAAACAATTAAAACTTATGTTGTGTAATTATGTTGTTGCTAAAGGATATCAATTGTGCTACAAAAAAATGATAGTAGGAGGCATTTAGTTAAATGTTGTTCACGGCAATGCAAGTTTAGATTGTGGGCTTCATGGATGAGAGAGGAAAAATCTTTCCAGATTAAGTCTCTTATAGACGATCATAATTGTGCTAGAAATTTTAAAATGGGGTCAATTATAAGCTATGCATGGATTGGTAGCCATTTCACATCCAAAATTTTAAAAAAACAAAAAATGAGTGTTAGGCTAAAGGAAGAAGTAAAACAAAATTTTGGAATTGATGTTAGTATGGGACAGTGTAGAAGACCAAAGAAATATGCAATTGAACTTATTGAAGGTACACTAGTTGAGCATTATGCCAAGCTTTGGTTATATGGTGAAGAGATAAGAAGATCCAATCCAAGATCAACTGTCAAATTGGATGTCAACAGTATGCCTGATGGGAAGACATATTTTAGTAAGTTTTACATATGCTTTGAGGGGCTGAAACAAGGTTGGAAAGGAAGTTGTAGAAGAGTAATAAATGAAAGGACCTTAGATCAATTGATTTATCAAACAATGACTAATAATAAGAACAGAACAACGAAGTATCACAAAGAGCTTTCACTAAGAATGATAATCTCACAAAGAGATTATTGTTCGCACAAAGCGGCTATTAGGGTTTGTGAAAGACAACCCCTTCACAAACCCGTACAAAAGATTATATAGAAATATTATAGACAATCCCTACAAATCAGGGATGTTCCAGCTAACTAATATATGATAACTATGGAAACAAGATAAATACTAAATTTGTTACATTAAATAAATTACATATACTGAATAGTTTATACGCTGACGCTGATGCTGACGTTGAAATATATGCTGATGCTGAGTGATCAGTTTCAAACATCATCATATTATAAGGTTCGACCTTACAATCTCCCCCGATATGATGATGTTCAAAACTGGTTGAGAAACTGAAAGCAAAGAACTTGGAACATAAAGACTGATGAGGAGTCATCAGATGATGAAGTTAAGTGTCTGATGGTCAAGATAGAAGACACTGATGAATGTAAAGTCAGCAATAGTTCATTTGATGTTGATATGTCTGATGCAGTGGAAAACTCCAGGAAGCACAACACTGATTCTCCTTCAATGTATCAGGTTCAAAACTTTGTTTCATATTCAATGAATTAAAAAATCAAAATGTTTGAGTATTTGGGTGTTCTTAATTCTAAGAAGAATCAAACCATAAGAGATATGCAAAATC